TCATCCAGATCAAGCTGCCACGTTTGTGTACGACCTGGCTCGTGTGCTATCCAGTCTGGGTGTGTGTGGTGCGAATGCTTCCGTGGGAGAGCTCCGTGTCGATGTCAACGTGTCCGTTGGTCCGAGCCGGGTGAATCAAGGACCCCGAACGGAAGTGAAGAATGTAAACGGCATTCGTGGTGTGGCCCAAGCGATTGGTACGCACCTTTTCATAATTTACTCACCTTTTCGCTCGAAACAAAATACTTGTGTGTGCCCACATGGGAATGATGTTGCTAATGCTTTTGGAATTGATAGTCTACATTTCAGCCAAAACGTAAGCAGGTTATCTGATTGATCATCAAAACTTGAATGGAAAGTGAAATAATTTGAAGATACCTTGTGACTCATGAAAAGCTCAGCTTGGTTCTCTTACTCCCTGATCAGGATGACTGCATAATACACGGTAACAAAAGTGGTGACCTTGCTGTACCAGGCCGAATTCACTTTCAGCGGATATTCAAAGCCTATCCTTATAGGGCCGAGTGGTGTAAGCGGAAGGTTTATTCAGCACACTTTTTCGCTTGCAAATGAATATAACGCTAGCCCTCAAAACCTCACACTTCAATAGAATTGTTCGAAAAGTTAATGAAAACAAGGATTTAACCTTATATCATACCGTATCATCTTTATGTGGATAGTGCGAGACCATTGGAAGTCACTGACGGAGATCAAACATAAATTCGGTCAAGATACTGACATTCAATATATTGATGAGTACAGGTCAGGTCAAGTCAAAATAAGCTCTATGCATCAATAATGGGTGACAATTTGAGCCCGGGTAAAGGAATGCATAATGGTTTTTAGCTGCTTTCATGACTTCAAACCCTAGAAAAGACTGATAAACGTCGACCGATTCAACTGCAACGCACTTAATTAATTAATCAAAATCAATCTCAAGTTGGCACTGAAGTATGATTGCTTGTGGACAATATCGCGGTTTAAAATGTTACGGTTTTATTTTGATGATCATGCACATTTTTTCGCCCGACCTCGGTAATTTATAATAGGCTCGTTTGTCTACTAATGAGTAGACAATCATATGGTATGGAAACAGTCGCTCGCCCGCTTACCATATTTGCTTTAACTTCAAATGGTCTTCTTCAGTTAATCAGATGCTTTGTCAACAGTAGATTGTTTGCGATGACGGACAATTTTATGTGTTTGCGCGAAATGCATGGGTTCCTTATCAGAATGGAATGTCCATAGATTTGTTTAAAAGCTAGAAAGCTTGCATGCCTATTAGCTCCTCAGTTAGTACCAACTTTTACCCATCTTTTCCTTCGAAATAAATCTTACAAAACTAATGAGCGGGCGTTGTGATTTCAAATGTTCCTCCTTCCACAAGTGAGCAAGGAATCCGATTTTTCATTGGAAAAGTTGAGATCATCAGTTTTTTCTAATGGTAGTCATAATTTTGAAAGCGGAACATTTATAATGATTTCTAATATAGACTTCACTTTATTTGTCGTAGTAGAACTATGCTTTTCTTTTTCTTCTTACTTATTCGATTGAATTACAATCTTTCACATGGGTGTTAACACATAAGTTAATTTTAATTTTTACTGATTTAGTAACAGTAACTTAACTGCGATTTCATCTATTACTTTCGTCTCGCTGATTACGGTATCATGATGGCCTAGAGGGAATCATTGTCACACAAATCTTTGTGGTGAATCGGACGGGTTATCGTAACAGGGATGTTGTGCGGGAAAATCACTTGGTCCCAACAAGAAACCGGCCCTGTTTTCCCGACGAGCCCCTGGTTGTTTAGATTTTATTTTAACGCACACCGTCATCCATATCCCACACAGACAATCTTTGCACAAACAACTTGGTGGTCACGATAACTTCTAGTTTTGCACGTGGCACTTTGATCGGACCCATGCATTTTTTGCTTCATCTACAGAATATGAAATCGATCGTCAGATGAAGCTTTTCCGATCCGGTGAAAAACCTATCAATGAGACGCGATCTTATGATCCCACGAGAGGGTAAGAATCTTTTCTTGAGAATAGTGATACCACATGAAACTATCTTGAAGAATTACTCGCATACTGAAAAAAATCATCAATGACGAAAGAGGTGTAAAGCTAAACGTTTGTTCTCTCACGAGTATTACATACATTTCTGGTACCTGTTATTTTTCCTTTCCACCTTAAACGTGTCCCAGCTGTGAAGCAGTAAAAGAGGAAATATGTCCTATTTTAATTGTCCTCCACTTGTGAACGGAGTGAAGTTGTCTGAGTGACTAACGGGATAACGTTCGGCTATTTTTTGAATTGTATGTGGAGTCTGTAGGAATATCTTGAAAGGTGACTTTACGTGTGTACTAAGTGATACGGAACCTTTCTACAGTCGTAGCGCTTGTCGCGAAGTGAGTGAATTACTGATTGATATCACTGAGTTTGAGTTAACGGTCCTCAACCATATATGACCACTATTTGATACCGATCAATACAAAAGAATGCCATAGACAAACGGCAAATGAAGCTCCGATTATTGGTTTGTTTTGTCAGAGCCATGCACCCCATAACTATCACGGTTTGTTCGGTACCGCTGGAGTGGTTTATCGTCTCAGTGCACGGAATTGAAATCCACCATGTGTGAAAGCATGGAATAGGGGAGATACGTTTTGTAGCATATCTTTCAGAGCCAGGAAGATGCCTGGGGAATTAGGTAAGAAACTTCGCCCGATTTATGAATACCAGTCAGTGTGAGCGTACGGAGAACAGAATTTCCCCACAAGGGAAGATATCGTCAAACAAAGCAGATTAGGTGCATGGATTACATGTTCTCATTTATGCGTACATCGGAAGGTAGACAAACTGCCTCACTGGGAGAATGTGTACAGAGCATAGAGAATTCACGCTTCTTTTAGTATTTACATATTTATATAACTTCATTTTTGTTCATTGTATTGAAGATTTATCAAAGATTTGGAAAACAGTTGCGTGGACTAACAACTGAAGCACATCACGTCGAACGAAAACCGATCTATAATGTTCATTACAATTTAAAATTCACGGCTAAATGGAACCTCATACTAATCATTTTTAGTTTCAATCGGTTTTCCGAAGATTCGTGTGGTCAATCGCATGACCACCTTGAGATTTGAAAACACGACCTATGGGGCTGTGAATATGGTTCACTTCCCTTGGTAGAAACTTTGCACGAACAAGGGTCGAAAACAAACGTGTGACAGTATAGTTATCCAATGCTATAGATAGCATGATAATGCCTTCTCTTCGTTGTCTTCTTGGTCAAGTCAAAGTAAGCTTTATGCACCCTTAGGGTGAATTTTCAGCGATTTTTCACGATAATACAGTGGAGCTGAGGTGAATGGCCTCGAAATGAATAGGTTAATTTTAAAAAAAATATATAAAAAACGACAGAAAACTGAACGCAGGAAGACGATGGTGACGGAAAAAAGGAATAATTAAACTAACTTATGAGGTGTTCAACCAAACCTGTAATAATATGTGCCCGATTTACTAGAAAGCGAGCAAGAAAAGGGTGGTTGCTGTTTCTGTATGCGACGGTGCGTGCGGGAAGCAGCCTATAATGAGAGCGGGTACGGGGGTTTGACATGGATTCTTCATGTAAGCAGTGATCTTCGTTGTTCAACATTCGAACAGCTATTCTTTCACA